CAAATCTCTCTCAAGTTAAGAATCTCACATGGGTGGGACTGTGATTCTCTCTTGGTCGTAAGTCCCACCTTCTTTAGGACTCTAACTCGCAAGCTTCTTGGACTCTTCCTTCTTGTCATCGTCCCTATCCCTCTTTGACTCAAAGATCTCAAGAAGATCAAGAGAAGAAGTCGTGTGAGGAATCCTGTGTAGGTGAGACTCTCTTCTCCCCATTTTCTCGACCATGTGTGTCCAGCTTCAAGAACACATAAGGTTGTGGGATTCTATTGTTTCTTAGGCCTTTTTGAACTTTATTGGGTCTCTAAAGCTATCTCTTCATTATTCCAATCTTGAACTAAGAGGTTGGTGGCTTATTGGATCTTTATGGGCCTAAATCTTGTGATTGGACATAAAGCATTCAAATTCTCCTTTCAAGATCCACAAGCTCGTCTTCTTGACAATCTTGGACTGGTCTTGATGTTGGGCTGGTAGGAATTATCTTAAGGTCGATCTCTTTGCCCTATGACTCCTTAAGCCAGTGGGAGTCTTGTTACCTACAAGAATCTTCAAGCCTGCAGGAATCCTCAAGCCCCCGAGAATCTTTATCATCGAGGGATTCCTCTTTCCCACATGCATCCTTCTTAGTTTGGGAATCTATTATCTTACAAGTTGCCTCGAACTCATGGGTCCCTCATTGCTTGCGGAATGTCTTGCTTTCTTAATTCACATCAGTAATGTCATACATCACATATAACCCTCTCTTTTATATTTTTGAATGTTAGAAGAGCATTTAATATTTCCAACTGTCTCTAAGAACAACAATTACGACTTAAAATACTCAGATGACTTAAATACGCAACAGAATATTAAAAGTGACAGAATGAATTTATTGCCTCAATCTATAAAAATTCAGTCTTTTATTGCACCGACTCATCTCTTTCTTTCTCCTAACTTATCACTTGTTCCCACGTAAAATCTCGTGACTTACCGACAGAAAAAGACAAAGTATAAACTACCTCAATTTCTTCTTTTATGGTGTTAAGACATAAAAAAAAAAAACCCACATATTACATACATTAGAAATAAATTTCAAAATAAGTAACAAAGTAGATAATTTAAGTAAATCGAGATATGTTTTGTTTTTTATTTAGGATTGCCACATTATGTTTTTAAATAATATAGTGCCGAGTTGACATTAAGGCAGTGTTTGCATGACAAATATATGAATTTACCACTTAATTTGAATGAAATAACTAATTAAAATTGAATGAAGTCTCAAAATTTTAGGTTTAAAAAGATATTGTTTTGTGACTTTGAGTAAAAAATGGTCAAATAATTATGTAATTTATAGCCTAGCTAAAAGACACCATGTCCATTTACATAGGAATAAGAAACAAAGAAAAGTTTGTGAATTACCATTTTTGAAGGCCTGTAATTGGTAGCTCAGAACCTACAGAATGAACTTCTGACGACTGTATTAGAATGGCACGCTCTTGAGTTGAAGCTGGTTGGTCAACAGGCTTTTTCGCTCTCAGTGCGCCGGGCAATTTCATCGGCTTCCTCCGATTGCACTCGGCCGTTCTTGGTCCTTCAATTTTGAAATCGAAGACAGTACTGAAAACCCTATATTTATAGGAAACCTAATTGCCTGATTCCGCTTTGTAAATTTGCTTTCTCCATTAGGGATGCTGCAAAATTGATAATTGTTATCTCGCATTATATTATTTTATTCCGGTAATTGAACGATAGCAGCGAACAACTCGAGTTCGTGTCAGGATGCTAGGTGGTTTGTACGGAGATTTACCTCCACCTTCAGATGAGGATAAACCTAGCAGCAACTCTTCGGTATGGTCTAGCAGCGCAAAAATGGCGCCAGCTACCCTTCGTAAACCTTCGTCTGTCTTCCCTCCGCCACAGACGGTTTTAAAAGCCCTAAACAAGCCGAAAGCTCCGAGTTCTTCGTCGGGTGTTCACACGAAAGCTGTTGTCTCAGCGGCAGTGGCGCCGCTCCCGTCAGAGGAGGTGACTGTGCAGCCTGCCCTAGTGGGAGTCACGTCTACGGTGGTGGAGGAATATGATCCCGCGAGGCCAAATGATTACGAGGATTACAGGAGGGAGAGGAAGAGGAAGGCCATGGAGGCAGAGATGCGGAGGGAGTTAGAGAGAAGGCGGCAGGAGGAAGAGGAGAGGGAGAGGGAGAGGGAGAAGGAAAGGGAGAGAGAGAGGGAGAGGAGAGAGAGAGAGGAGAAAGAAAGAGATAGGGATCATAATGATTCGAGGTTGAATATCTCCGGAGAGGAAGCTTGGAAAAGGCGTGCAGCGATGAGCGGTAACGTGCCACGATCGCCTTCTCCTCCGAGCAGTGGAGATGGGTTTAGCATTGGGAAATCAGATACGAGTGGGTTGGGAGTTGGGGCTGGTGGACAGATGACTGCGGCTCAGAGGATGATGGCCAAGATGGGGTGGAAGGAGGGCCAAGGTCTTGGGAAACAGGAGCAGGGGATCACCACCCCATTGATGGCCAAGAAGACGGATCGTAGAGCTGGTGTTATTGTTAATGCCAGCGAAAATAAGCCTGAGAAGAAGGTGAAGAGTGTGAATTTCAATGGACCTCCAACTCGAGTTTTACTACTCAGAAACATGGTATCATAACTTCACAAATTATTTTGCTTCTAATGCAAAATCTTGGTTTATTTCGTGATAGGCATGAATGGAGCTAAAGTCGAGTTCATGTTAATTTATTTGCCGTTGAGATTTTTCAGATTGATTTGAATAACTGTTATCAAGTACCATTGATCTTTTAGGCTTCGACATTGTTAAGACTTTCGTTGTAACAGTAGGTCCATTACCCAAATCTGTTGCACCGGAAATTCTTTTTTCATAGAATTTGTTTAACATGACTTTCGTTCCATTCGTGCTTGCTGTGTGAATGGCAGAAACTCTAAACTTACATTGCAAGCAGAAGCGCACAAACCTTATCCCTAGATTGCAACCTGACTCTTACATTAGAGAAGTGAATATACCATACCACATGGACAAATTAAACTTAAAATGAAAAGGAGAAATAATTGAAGGATTTTTTCTTTACATAGTGTGCTGACTAGAAAACCCAAAATTATGATAATTTCTCCCATAAGAAGTAAGTGTCTGTACCGAAGAATACCATATGGTATGCATTTTATCCCCTGCACCTGAGTAAACTGCCAATACACAACAGTACAAAACGAGGAGTGAACCTTCTTCAACTTTCCCAAGAGATATTTGTGAACAACTGACCAGTTAACGAAGATGAACATTTTTAAGAAAGCTAATAGAGTAGAGAAAATGAGTGCAGGGCTGGAGCCTGGAGGTCTACCACCTAGAAGAAAGTGAAGGATTATATAGAAGAGCTTTAGTCAAGTATGTGGGACGTCACAAAAAAAGGGATCTCTATGTATTATTCAAATATATCCTAGTGCCCTAATTATTTTTTTTTATAAAAAAACTAAACCAGCTTGTGTTTGTATATATGTGTATAACAGTTTAAAATTAACAGTTAGAGTCAAAACATCTATGGTTTTCTGAGAAATTATGTGTCATCTCTCTCTACTTTGACTGAACAAAAAGTCTCCTTACAAGCTGACCTGACTTTTAGAAAACTTAAACTTCAAGAAATTAAAGACATGATCAACCATTAGCAGATCATTCTTCAGAAATAGATCTCGTAATATGAAAAAAAAAAAAAAAAAAAAAGAAAATGGCTTGTATTAGTAGACAGTGTAAATGTCTTGTATTCTTGTTCATAGTGAGAGTAATATCTAGCAGTTTCTTTCCATGTGGGAGATAGAAATAGAGTCATGTTTTTGGAGGATACATGGGTAGGGAAATTAGCTAACAAACTTCCTAGATTATGCAATCTTTCAGCCAAACATAATACTTATGTATCCATGTCTACCCACGAAACTGAGGGGAGGACAGCCTGGAATTTCCATTTTACGCGCAACAACCTGTCTGATAGGGAGTCTTTAAACATCTCATCCCTATTAACCACTTTGGAATCCGTTCTCATTTCACCACAGCCAGAAAGTGGATCATGAACTCCTGAAACATCAGGAATGTATACTTGAAGTCCTTGTACAACAATCTTGTAGAAAACCCCAATCACTCTTTTTTCCACGTAGCCAAGGTTTTTTGGAAAGTTTTAGTGTCTTCAAAGTTTAGAATTTTTGCTTGGACAACCAGCCATTAGAAGCTCAAAAGAAAAGTGATGCACCAACTTTGCCGCCCTTACCGTGTCTTGTCTTCAGACATCTACATAATGTGCTTTAGAGGTGGTGAGACCCACTCCCACCTGTTCCTATATTGCAGCTCAGCCTGGAGGTTGGGGACAAAACTGTTGAGATTGTTTGACCTGGTTTGCTTAATGCCTCCTACAGTGGGAAGGTTTATTTTCTCCTATATATGTTGAGAAGGGTTGAGACATGGAGCTAGATCCTTGTGGCAAGTGGCGATTTTGCCAGTCTTCGGTGCATTTGGCTAGCTTGAAAGCGGTGAACCTTCCAAGACCATATTGCTTTCCTTGATGAACTTTGGGATAGGACTACCTTCATGGCAACCTTGTGGGTTAAGGCACATCCCCATAGTGAAATCAACACGCGTCACGACAACTAGGGACCTATTCTCTATAGCCTGGACGATGTTACAATCATGTGATCATTTCTATTGCTTATTTGTGTTTTTATTTTACTTAAGAAGGTTACTTTACCCTCCGTTCTTGTATTTGCTTCTTTCTTACCCTTGTCCAAAAAAATTTCAAGTAGTTTTTAGCTACAAGTGTTTTAGAGTTTTATTTATCAGATTATCTTGCAATTTCTTAATCATTATGAGATTACCTAGCAATTTCTAACTAGAAGTGTTTGAGTTTTATTTATAAGTTGCTTAGTCATTATGAAAGTAGTATTAGTAGACACTATGATATAGGATAGATTATGGTTAATTTGCCTACCTATGGATTTGGGGACAAAAACTTTGACATTACACCTAAGTTCATAGACATCAAATCTAAGATGCCTTAATTTCGTTGCATCACACATCCAAAAAATTAGGACTCTTAAAGTATTTTATTGATTAATTGAAGTCTGTATACAACAGATGTGTTTAGCATGGGTTTTCTTAAAAACTTTTGGCATGTGATTAGAGAGGATATTATTGAACTCTGTAAGGAGTTTCATGAGTCTGGGTCCCTTGTCATATGTTTAAACTCCACATCCTAGTATTTATCCCTAAGGTGGAAGGAGCGACATATATAAAGGATTTTAGACCTATCAGTCTCATATGGAATGCATACAAACTCATTGCAAAAGTGTTGATAAGGAGAATGGCTAAGGTGATGTGGATGGTGGTGGATGAGTGTCAACATGCTTTTGTGGATGGTGGATAGATTCTAGATACGACTCTTATTGCCAATGAAGTAGTAGATGAATTGCTTCATAAAATTATGGAAGGTGTTATGTGTAAGCTTGATATGGAGAAAACTTATTATCATATAAAATTGGGGCTTTCTTGATTGTACGTGAAACAATTGGATTGTAAGGAGAAATGATGCAAATGCCTCAATTCATGCATCTCTCAACTTCTTTTGCAATTATGGTTAACGGGGACCCGCCATCGTTCTTCAGAGTCTCCAGAGATTTTAGGCAAGGTGACCCTTATCCCATTTGTTATTATCATGATAATTGACGCTCTCAACAAAATACTGTTAAGGGCTCTAGTGAGCTTGAGATGTTTAAGGGATGAAAGATGGGCGATGATAAGCATGTTAAGGAGGCAACTCATTTATTCTTTACTAATGATATTTTGATATTTTGTGAATGGGAGTAGAGTTCATATGCATCTTGCTGTTTTCAAGCTGTTTTTGGTATCAACGTTGACCTAGCAAAGTCTAAATTAGTGAGAGTAGGATTTTGGGGTATAGGAATGTAGAACTATTAATCACATATATATGGCTCCCATTAGGACCAAATATAAAGATGTGGCACTTAAGACTGTAGTTTTAAAGAGGAACATTTTATCTAAAGAGGGGAGACTTACACTTATTAAGAGCATGATGACAACATCCCCATTTATTATATGCCCCTATTGACAGTTCCTGCAGATATGACCAAATGACTGGAATAATTCAATATAGATTCTTATGGGGAGACACAGAGAACAGAAGAAAGTATCATCTTGTAGCGTGGGATGAGGTTAAAAAATCTATGCATCAAGATGGTTTGGGTATGAGATCTTTGGTGAAGGTTGATCTACTACCCATGACAGATCTTGCACAGACAACATCAATGAATACTTCTACATCTCTTTTTGTGGTTTTTTCAGAGAACAATCCTTTCGCTAGTGTCATTTTTAAGTATCATAGAATTCAATTTGCAGCTCTTAAATGTTCTTCAGTTGAGTCATTCATGAATTGACTTATAACATTTATTGCAAATTTAATGTCTGAACTAGTGTGTGAGAGATGTATCAACTTTCCAACTAATCTATCATGTTATCCCTCGTTTATTCAAGGACTTTCTCCATGTGCTCCAAACTTGATATTTGGTTCCATTAGGGTGTCTGTTAGTTTACACCCACTCATTCCTTTTTCCTTCAGTAAGTCGACTACAACTTTCTTTGTGATGCAGTGACTCTTTTCCTGGATCGTGCTACTTCCATTTTAAGGAAATACTTCAAATTCCCTAGGTCTTTGGTCTTGAATTCTAAGGCAAAGCATTATCTTGACTTTTAAATTTTTTTTCATCATTTCCGATTAACACTATTTTATCCACATAAACAATAAGTTCAACAAATTTTCTTGTCTAGGAGTACTTCACAAACAATGCATGATCTATTTGACATTTCATGTATCCACACAATTCCACTACTCGATTGAATCCATCAAACTATGCTCTAAGAGATTGCTTCAATCTATAAAGAGCTTTCTTCAATTTATAGATCCTATTCATATTATCCTGTCTCAAAACCTAGAGAGATATCCATGTAGACTTCCTTTATAAGTTCTCTAGTTAAGAAAGTATTTTTCACGTCAAGCTGGTGAAGTAGCCATCAGCATTTTTGTTGTCAATAATAACAATACTCAGATTGTGTTATTTCAAAAAAAAAAAAAAAGCAATACTCAGATTGTGTTTAACTTTGCAACAGGGACAAATGTTTCTTGGTAGTCATATGATTGTGTGAACCATTTTATAACTTGCCGAATTTTTTACTTGTCAACTCTTCCATCGGCTTTATACGTATAGTGAAGACCCACTTGCAACCTATTGTCTCTTTTCCTCTTGGTAATTTTGTGAGTTCTTATCTACCATTTTTCTTTGGGGCCTTCATTTCTTCCAACTCTATCTTCCAGCTTGTACTCATGCTTCTTGAACTATCTTGGAACATGTATATTATCTAATTTGTATCAAATGTCTGAAATCCTAGTGATAATCTTGGATATGATACAAAATTGCATAAACAATGATTTCTACAAGATCTTACCCCTTTTCTTAGTGCGATTGGCCGATCATCTCTAGTTGTATCACTTTCAGTGTGGTCAGGTTGTGTATTGGAATATTCGTTAGGGGTTGATATTTGCCTATGCTCAGTTGCTGGAAGTTGCTGCTCTATTTCATGTCCCAGTTTCTTTCTTTTAGACTGAACCATAATTTCTCCATTTTTGGCTTATTTTGGGTTTTCAGTAGACAAGTTCTCTTGGGAATCCTCCTGGATAGATTAAGATTTTGAAGTTTGTGATTAATGCCCTGGAATTGGTTCATGTAGTGAATAGAGTTGTCTTGGGTGGGTAGTAATCCAATAGTTTGGTTAGTTTACTAATCTGTCCTTGTTCGATCTTAAATCTGGGAATCTTCTTGGTTTCTCTCCCCTGAATTTCAGATTTGGGATAAAATTGTTGTTGCTCAAAGAATGTCACTTCCATAGAGGTATAACATCGTTAGATTGTTGGTGAATAGCATTTGTATTCCTTTTGGTTTGAGGTATACCCTAAAAATATGCACTTAACTGCTCTTGGGTCCAATTTGCCAAGGTGTTGTGAGTGAATGTGAACAAATGCAATGCATCCAAAGATTTTTAATAGAATTGGTGAAATGGTTCTATTATGTAGGTATGATGTGAGTGATTTTTGGATTGATGCCATAAATTTTAGTACTTGAGAATACATTGTATTGATGAGGTAAATGGCAGTGAGTATGGCTTCCCTATAGAAGTCGTTTGGCACATTGGTTGAAAAAATAAGTGATCCGGTTTCCTCAAGAATGTGATGATTCTTTCTTTCAGCTGTCTCATTTTGTTGAGGTGTATTAAGACTGATGTATAATCCCTTGGTTTTCTAGGTAGCTTCCAATGCTTAGTTTGAAGTATTCTTTGGTATTATCAGTTCTAAGAATTTGAATTTTCGTGTGAAACCGGATTTAAATCATGTTGTTGAATTTTTGAATTATTTCCCCAACTTCATACTTTTCTCTCATCAGATAAACCAAGGTAACTCTGGTGTGATCATAAACAGAACAAACCATCTAGTCTCATTAATATTTTTTATTCTTAATGGTTCCCATATATTACTATGGATTAAGAAGAATGGCTTGGAGTCTTTGTAAGGCTGAATTTGGTACGTGCTCCGGATATGTTTTGCAGATTGACATACATCACACTGAAAATCCTTAGAACTTTTATTGATGAATAATGAAGGAACAAACCTTTGCAAGTAACTAAAGTTCGGCTGCTATAATCTATAGTGCCACAACATGATTGCACTATCATTCTAAGAAGTAAACAGGAAAAATCAGAGGATAGGTGCTCTTGAGTGTGGTTATTGGAGAAGATTTAGAGTCCTGAGTGTACTTTAGCATTGCCGATCGTTTTCCTCAAAAATAGTTCCTGAAATTCAACTACGTTTGAATAGAAGTTAGCAACAGCTCTCAGTTCTTGAGTCAGTTTACTAGCTGACGAAATATGCAACTTAATTCAAGAACATAGAGGACATCATCCCAATTTATGTTTTTAGATAAACATGCAGTGCTTATTCCTACTACTTTTAATAGAGGCAAGTCTGCAATTCTGATATAGATTTGTTTTTGACATGGGCTATATGTTTTGAACAATTTTAAATTACAAGTCAGTGATCTGAAGCTCCAAAGTTACTGATCCATGCATTGATTTAATTTTGGAGATTAGATGGGATATTAGTAAATTTTCATGGTTGGGAAATAGATCTGGTGCCTGTTAGTGGATTATTTATTTGGTGGTTACTCAATAAATCTCTCAAGTAGTCAATCTGCTCTTTACTATAAATCAATTTCTCATTCTGTTCCCCACCTGGTACTTCCGCTTCCACTGTTAGGTTTCTTCTCAACTCTATTTCCAGATTTCTTTTTGTCTTTTTCATCCTTGATTCCAATTTTGTTTCCAATGTGGTGGCTTTCCATGAAGCTTCTAGCAAATCTCCTTTGAGTGGTCACCCTTTCTACAACGATCCCTCTACAACTTTCCCTTTTTATGTTTTGTCTCCCATTGAAGTGGCTGAGTATTTTGAGCAGGAAGTGCTGAACTTTCTGGAATATGAATGTGTTGGATTCTCGCGCATGATTTTCTTTCGGCTTTCTTCCATGCGCACTTCTACAAATGCTTCATGAAGACTGTGACTTGGTTTTTCTTCCAGGATTTTTCCTCAAACATTATTTAGTTTCTTGTTAAGGTCGGGAAGAAAATTTTTACAGCTTCTTCTCAGCGATTCTCTAATATTGAAGATTGTCTTCTGGGCAGTACTGCCATTGCTCTTCATAGATCAAGTTGTTGCTAGTTCCTTGTCAAGGTGTTGAAGTATTGGTCACTGTCAAATCACTGTCGTACGCGATGAAGTAAGCTTTTTACAGCAAAAAGTTCTGAGGAGTTATCTGTCTTGGAGTATGTTTCACAATCTGTGTCCCAGATTTCCTTAGCTGCTTTGTATAGGAAAATTATCTCCTAGTTCATTTGTCATTGAATTGTCAAGTCAACATATTATCATACTATCTTTGGCTTTCCAAGTTTGGTACTTTGGGTCTTCTATGGCCGCCAAATCAGTGGCCCCTGTAAGATGGTCACCTTTCTTTTTCCCACACATGAAAATCATGACAGACAATGACCAAGGTAGACAGTTTTGGCTATTTGACTTGTATTATGGATATCACTGGATTATCCATCCCATTGTTCCCCATCAGAATAGTTTCTGTTGAATGCACAACTTCCGACTTTGGGGCTTGAAGATGGCCAGCCATGCCGTACTTCAGCATTCTGGGTATTTTAGGTTAGATGGAATAGAAAACCATACTTTAATACCATGAAGAAAGCTGTAAGTTCTATTTCATGGTTTTCTTCTATATTATTATATTATTTATATGGTTGGACACCAAATCAGTATCCCCAAAAATAGAACAGAAAGTATACTTCTAAAAAGTTTCAGAAACTTTTCTTTATTTATGATTCTAATATCAAATCTACATCCCAAATTTTCTCCTAATATTTCTGAGTGTACTAATATGAATCGTTCCAATATTCATCTGTATTCATTTTTCTGTGAAACATCCATCTGTTGTTATTGATGATATAGAATCAAGCTGTGATGGCAACAATAAATTTCTTCCCTATATATTTTCTGTAGATTTGTTTGCTGTCTTTTCATCTTTTATGCTTTTAAGATGTAAGGTTTTAATGGAAAATTGGATGGGAGAATGGTGGGAAGGGTGGCTGACTTCTGTACTTCATTCTTACAGGTTGGGCCTGGTGAGGTAGATGATGAGCTAGAGGAGGAGGTTGGTTCTGAATGTGCAAAATATGGCAATGTTACCCGGGTTCTAATATTTGAGATAACAGAGCCAAATTTTCCAACTGATGAGGCAGTCAGAATATTTGTGCAGTTTGAGAGACCAGAAGAAACGACCAAGGCGATTATTGATCTTGATGGCCGTTACTTTGGTGGTCGAGTTGTTCGGGCATCATTCTATGACGAGGAGAGATTTGGTAAGAATGAGTTGGCTCCAATGCCCGGAGAAATTCCTGGTTATACTTGAATTGTCTGAATGTCTAGATTTGGTAGGAACGAGTTGATAGGAAGTTGAGGAAGTTAGTTGTGTTTAAGAATCGAGCAACGTTTTCAGGAGCATTCAACTTTAATTGGGAGAGCAAAGTTAAAAAATCATGCTTGTTGCAATGAAGAATTTGTAAACTTGGTGAACTCTTAGATACAAGTAGCAGAGTTGACAACTAATTTTTGCTCGTCTTCAATCAATTATTTGAAATTTGTCTTGCAGATCTAAACTGACCTACCAAGATTTATTCCACTGTTTTTCTTTTTTTTTTTTTTAAAAAAGTAGTTCTAATTTAATTTTTAATCAAAACATGAGTTCGATTCGACTTTGTATTTAGAAAGAAACAATTTGTTTGGATCCAATCTTATTTTATGGAATTGTTGTGATTCGGATAAAACCGTGATGATTCAAACTCAGAAAGTCTCTCGAGCCCTTAACCACCAATTGTGTTTTTCCAATTAAGGATGTGAGGATGGAACATTCATGGAGTAGGGATTTATGTTTGTCATAAGATGAAAAACTTTTTACAGAGAGTTATATATTTTCTTCGCACCATATTGATACCACCATAAAGGGGGTTAGCACAGAGGGTTTATAGAGATTTACATAAATTTATGGGTGGAGGGGAAATAAATATGAAGTTTAAAATTTGACTGGTATTACAGAGTCTAAGAACCGACTCCCATGGCTTGTAAGGAAGACTCAAATGAGATCATTGCAGGCCACGAAGAATATAAATACATGTGGGTAATAGTAGATGATATATCCAACCAATGGGTTTTGAGGGAGATAAATACATCTGGGTAATAATAGAGGATATGTCCAAGCAAGGTTGGACATGTTTGGCCTCAATTTTCTTAGTAGCCATTAATTCCAAATTGGGTTGTGAGGAATCTT